GATATGTTGGGAGCTGTCAAACTGAATGTGAGCAAGTAGGTACATGGATTTTATTTTAACATATAATCTTCAGTTGAAGAAGGATCATTTGCCTTCAAGATGCACAGGTTGCATTTTCCTTGGTATCCTGGATTATTGATGACCACTTGCAGGGGCAATATCCAAAAGATTATGTTTATTTTCACACCACTTTTCTTACCGCTAAAAACTCCCAGTCATCACAAATATACCAAATTAGAAACATCAATCTGAATAAAGCACAATACAGTGATCATTTTGACAACCATGTAACGCAACAAAATGACCAGAGTAACCACGTTAAAGACAGATTTGTGCAGAGTGTAAAAGGGACTTCATGGAGGGATTTTGGGAGGGGAAATTTAAAGATGAAACTCAAATCTTTCTCACTAACAGCAAGCCCCAGAGATGGATTAACCCAGTAAGATGTCAAAATAGTCTCGACTGGATCTGGAAGTCACAGCTTTAAATAATAACATCAGACAGAACTTGCACATTATCCGCTCCACACACATCGTGCTTTCAGGATTTCCAAGGAGATGAGAGAGGTGCAGACATCAAGTTATAAAAGGAGTTAATGATAGCTGCTGAGCTGTCGTGAGAAGATCTCTCAGCTTTTTGTCAGCGTTCCCTTTGAGAGAGGAGACAAAATCCTTTGTGGTGGGAAAAAATTGGGGTCAAAGACGGTTTAGGAGTGCAGAGAGTGAATAAGAGCTTTCCTGAAGTGCTTCAGCTTCAGCTTTGACACATATAAACAAGAAGGAAAAAGGGAGTGAGATCCAGGTGGAAAAGACAAAGCCGGCCTGCATGAAAGAGGACAGAGAAGGTCAGAAGAAGGCAGGAGGGCAGAATAAAACGTGGAGGAAGCTGTGGAAAGAGAGACGAATGAGTCAGGTGGAGGAGAGGAGCAGATGGAGACAGAGAGAGAGGCCACATCACGCAAAGAGAGCGAGGCCCTGCAGAGAGCCGAATGGAGACTGACACAAATTGATGGGCCAAGACATTAAGGGGGTAGAAGTGGAGCAGGCTCTGGAGAGGAATAAGCCAACTCCAATTTCATCTTTATGAATGAGTGAAGAGGCAGAGAGGGAAATTTGGAGGGAACAAGGGAGATGAATAATGAAATGATTCCTCGCTTATTGCCGTCTTATCACAGGGGTAGTAATGAATCAGTTGAGGAGAGTAGGTCACACAGCAGATGAAAATGAAAAAGGAGGAAATGTCTGGGAAGGGATCGGAAATCTATTTGATTATCCTTACATGGGAAAAAAGTATATATTTACTTGCGTGAATGCACTTATTAACGGTATGGTCAAGGTAAACAAAAGACAGTGGGATAAAAGGAAAACATCGCTGCACCTCTCATTAAATTAAAAGGCTTAAACATGGAGGGAATTCATTTGTTAAGGACGACAAAACAATGTCTTGTAATAGACTATGGCTGAATCGAAGAGAAACTTTTCTATATCTACAATCCAAAATAAGCGATTTCAAGAAGCTTATGTGCAGACTTCCTAAGTGCACCTTGGGAAAACGAACATGATAATTAAAAAAATTATCAAACTGATAGAGTGAAACAAAAAGACATTTCAGAGCTGCTTGATCTGATCAAGATACAAAAACTAAAGTCAACAAAGGTGAAACTGATGAAGTGTAGTTGCTCATGAATGCATTTCAGCTTGATTTTGTACATTTAAAAAAACTGATTCATATGGGTACTGTTTTTACTCATGTTGAAAAACAATTTGTTTAGCAATGAAGTATGTCAGTGTTACATCAATATCCCTAAGCAAAGAAATATAGAAATGTACTGCTTAACCAAACATACAGGGGTTTAACATGTTGCTGTTTCATTTCAGCCACTTTAGTAGAAAAAGAAAATACCTTTGGGTTTAGGCACTCTAATTTAAAGCAAATGAAAAAAGTATAAAGGATGGTTGAACGTTGATTATCTCATAGCTCATAACTGGGTTGAATAGGTTTCCTTATCCACTACAGCAGAAATGATTTTGGTCTGAGTCCAGCACGCAGCTCATTGGTTGGGATGCACCTGCTTGCCCATCCATATTCTATTGTTGTTGTATTGTTTATGTGCTTGTGGACAGTTTTGTCACCGCAATAGCAATTCAACCGTGCCACTTGCAGTCATGAAACTTTACAGGTATTTAGTTTAGATCCTATCTAAGGTTTAGTTTGAAGATGGGTCTGATGTGAGCAATAGAGTAGGAGAGTAGGAAGTGGGGGAGAGGCCCACTCACTTTACACCCCTGGCACCAGTCTTGTGATCCAACCCCAAGATGGTCTCTAGTTTTTCTTCACATTTTGTTATTTTTCTTATTCGCATGCGACCCGCTGCTAATTTTAAACTTTGTATTCCGCCCTCTACCTTCACTGTAATTACACGGTGCGGGTTGAAAGCTTATTTGCAAGCTTTAACGCATGAGTAAGCAGATTAACTCTTAACTTGTAGTTATGAATCTGTGCTAAATGTACCGAGCGCACACATGTGGGGGTATGTGGGTGTTGAGTGACAGCTCTGTTAATAACCGTGATCTGAGCATATAGAAACACATGCATATCTCCTCCAGACCACAAGTACAATACACTGTCTTGTATTGTCATTATGCTGAAGGCGGAGGGAGGCGGCAGCTATTAAAGTTTGTTATTTGAACTACGCTGTACTGAGCACCAGATGGAAGAACATGAGGTGTTTACATTTACCTCTAATGTACATAGGTTATTAAAAATGCATTTCTAAATGTGTGAAATGCAAACAGTTTACCCTGCATTAAATTAATTTAACTGTGACTTCATCAAGATGATCCATTTTACAATATTTATTTAAAAAAATATAACTTTCAATACAGTAATCTGAATGTGGAAAACTTGAACTAGCTCAAGCTTTTACATTTTAAATGGTAAATATTTTTAAATGTTAGTTTTTATTTTATTTCTGCTCTGTTCATCTATACTTTACAACTAATTCAAGATTCAAGGGTTTTATTGTCATATGCACAGTAGCTACAGTGTAGTTATGGCAATGACAATCTTGAGTCCTTAGCACCTCCAACAATGCAACTAAAAGAAAATAGCTAAATGAAACAGTAGGATAGATTAGAATAAAATACTGCAGGTTATGTTGTAAGACCAGTCTAGTAGTGCAGATTAACCTTCCTTAAAACAAAAGAACAGTTTAGCAGGTAATAACTGTACTTACCTATATGTTAGCTTAATGTGCTGCAGCAGCAGAAAGAGCACAGTGGGCTATAAGTCTAACTTTCACCATGAGTGAGTCTGTAATTGCTCTGTGGGTCGAGGAGCTGCTGTGGAGCGACGGGCCAATAGATGGTGCAGAGCTGCTGTATCTGCTCTTCATACTGTAGTCTCTGTGGTGCTTAATGTCATTACTGTCTTCCTGTCACCACAGCAACCGGCCTGACTTCATCCTCAGAAAATGCTTTTGTTTAGGCATTTATTGACTTGTGTGACTGACCATTGTGTGTGCTTGTTGTTGTGAATGTATATCAGACCCAGCAGAGAGTCGATCATGGCTACCCACATGTCAATAAGAACACAGCTTGGCCTTTAAGTGAATGAACAACGACGAAATTCATTACTCTCCATCCTATCAGACAATCAGCTTTATTAACATGCATCTCCATCACTTCGGTCCCTCTTCTATATCCCACCACAGGCTCTCAGTGATCCCCAGGACACGGCCCAAGGTTTAATAACACTAAAAGGTTCACCGCCCCACACATCTCCCCCCCTTATATTATGGAACTATGTTAAATATCTATATTTTATAAACTGAATCTGAGAGAGTCAACTAATGCCGCTCTCAGAGATGTATCATTTCTCAGCGTTGAATAATACATGTTTAAATGGGTTTTCAATCTGTGCAGCTGCACTATAATATATACCTATGTATGATATACGGCATTGAAAAGCCTCTGTATATTTTATATTGCAGTAACACCACACTGCCATGTACACCAAACGTAAAGAAGTACTGTAGCTTTGACCGAGTACTGTTATAACCCATCTGTGCCACCACTGAAATATAAAATATCCTTTGCTTAAAGTGTTATCTGGGTCTAAGCACAAATATGAATACTAACCCTTATGCCCTCGGACACCTGGGACTACTGATTTTCATCTCATTATATTATTTTTAAAAATGTCCAAAAAGTAAAAATAGTACATTGGTCTATCTGAGAAACTACAAGAAGCACAATCAAGTATTTCTTATCAATTTTAACAGGATAATTATTAAAGATATTTACAAAAAAATGTAAATCATATGGTAGACTTTTAGGTTTAATAGACACAATGAAAGTGTCTTTTGTAGTTTATTAGTCCTGCCTTTGACTGTTGTTTAACTCTGATTTGACCAGTGATCTAAATGTGCTGTTATTACAGTATGGATAGGCTTCAAGCCCAAAGTATGACTATACCAGATTGAAATACTCTCGACTAATAATAACAAATCTTTGGGGATTTTTCCTCACACCAAATAGTGTTTTAAGACCCAAAAAGGAGCTCACCTAATTATCCCACTCTGCCTCAACTTGGTGTGTAATGCTGAATTTGTGTCCACTTTACTTGAAAGGAAATATGAAATGTAGGTGGAATTCTTACTACCCGATTGCCTGTTCATTAGAACAGCAATAAAAGGCTAATTATAAAACGTTGTATTAAAGATAACATTATATAAAATCATACACTCACAGGGAATTGTTTTCCTATTAACACATTCTTTCACTTTTGATACTTCAACAACATTTAGCTGATTACACTTTTGAAAGACTTTTGCTTGTATTTTCTCACTGTGTTCATAGTTTAGCGGCAGCAGTGGTCAGATTTCGGTATGTGTAACTGCGTGTATAGTAATTTAACATTCACAACATCCTGATGAAAGCTTAATGGCAGCATTACACGTTAATTCCCGCTTGTTTGTTAAACACAGCACAGCCAAAATCTCTGTTTGCATAATAATTTATTCACATCATTTTTTTCACATACTATATATTATTATTGCTGCAGTTCTGGAGCCTTTCAGGTATTCACCTTCAATATTCCCACAACGGGATTCTATGTTCATATCTCTTTATATTTTTCATCTTCATGCATGCTGAGTATAACATTTCACAGGAGCAGGATGCAAATAAATAAAACAGTCTCTTTTTAAGTTACATGTCATAATCTATCCATTCTATTAATGCTTCGATAACATGCCTTTTTCAAAGTCCATAAGGGAGGGAAGGGAGGGGGACTTTTTCGGAAAGTATAGTCTCCATTAGAGGGCGAGGGCTTAACAAAGGGCACATTAATAATACATATTGTTAAAGCTGGCAATCTATGATTAATCTTCATTACCACCCGAACCCCTGCTCCCCCATCCGTGTGAAGCCCATCTACAGCGCATAGGGAAAAGGCTAAGTGTAACTATTACATTTCATCTATGTACAGTAACTTTGAAATATGGCACCAAATCTGCTTGTGAAAAAAAGCTTGAGGTTACACGTTAAAATATTTGTGACTACAATACTTTTTCCTTTTTAGCTGAAAAACTCTTTATATAACTCTATTCAGCCCCTTAGACAGCGATCACACGTCAGGAGCAAAGTGGAAACAATGGCACGCTTTTACTTGACTGTTTTCAGTGGTATTCTTAGAGTAAACAGCATGCCTTGCGGGCATCGGGAGCATTGCGGTGCATGACACAGTGTTGGAAAGTAAATCTAACTCATCTTCAAAGCACCATGTGTCTCACTTTGAACAAAAGCTCCCGGGCAATGTCAGTCTGCTGTCTGATTGGCACCCAGTGATACAAAGAATATGAGTAAGAGTGACAATATGTAAGAAAAAGCCTGGCACACTGAAAACAACTATTGTGTTCCAGTTTCTGCGAGTGCTGTTGGTTTGTGTGTACATTTCTTAGAACATGTTTAAAAAGGTGCTTTTTTGTCCGCTGAGTGACTTTACTCGAAAATCATGGACAATGCAAAATAACAATATATTTCTCTCAGTAGCTCAGATTAGCTTAGCATTCATTTTTCTGACTTAAGTCAGACATTGGCTTTTTTCCCCCCCCACACACATGCGTATGCATGCACACGCGTAAGCCTTTGCATATGCACACATCATTGGAAAATGAGGGGATTATTTCTGACCTACAGCAAAGGCAAATAATGAAGAACTTCAGATAACTCAACCTCAGGCTATCTTTACAGTATTTTATTATAATTAGTAATTGCTCAGTTCTAGCTGTTGGGTTCTTTGAAGGCTCCTAGTGTCACCTAGGCAGAGCAGAACTCTACATCATGTAAGCTTTAGGTGTAAGCTTTGATACAGCGAGACAGTCACCTTTTTAGGAAGGGAATTCTTCCCTCCTGAAGTGTCAAAGACTCTACTTTGTGAATTGATGCTTCATCATGACTGCACTGAGTCTGTGTGTGCTCCTGAATAATAATGAAGAGGTGAGTTTTGTGCCCTAATGATCGGGGGTCCTGGGCCAGGGAAAAGCTCTTCTCCAAAATGTAAGAGGTCCTTGAGCCCCCAGGCAGAAAGGCCTCTGTCAGACGTAGGCTGACTCACTAGACTGGGTCCTGCCCAGGTTTGGGGTCTGGGACAGGTGTGAAACATCCTTCTTCCGCACTTCACAGATGGACTTCCTTCGGGCCTGAACCCCTCGCATGGCCGTCTTTATCTTCCTCCAGCCAAGGTGGTTGAGCTCAGCCAGGTTGAGCAGCACACATACGCCACTCACCGCAAACATAAAGATCAGAAACACGGTCTTTTCTGTGGGACGAGACACGTAACACTCCACCTCTTTCACGCACGGGTAGCGGTCACACTCAAACATCCCCGGCACGTTGAAGCCGTACAGGAAGTACTGGCCGGCCAAGAAGCCGATCTCCAGCAAGTTGCGGAACACCACCTGGATGACGTAGAAACGGGAGATGCCCTCCTGCCGTCGCACTTTGGAACTCTTGTGTGTTTGGGGGAGTCCTCGGGGTCCGTTGGGAATCTCTTTGACCTCCAGGCAGTCGTGATCCTCCTTGCCGCTGTCAGGGTGCATCAGGATGCCGTTGATGTTGCGTGAGTGAAGTTTGCGGGAGTGATGGTCATGGCGTCCATGGTGACCGCTGTGACCGTGATGATCCATGTAGGGGTGGAGGAGAGCGTAGCTTCGGTCACGTGCTTTGGCTGACTGGTGGACAGAATACGTGATGAAGCACAAGCTCGGCGTGCACACCAGGATGATCTGGAAGACCCAGTACCGGATGTGCGAGATGGGGAAGGCCTTGTCGTAACAGGCCTGGTTGCAGCCGGGCTGCATGGTGTTGCAGATGAACATGATTTGCTCATCCTCGTACACCTTCTCCCCCACAATACCAACGATCAGGATACGGAAAATCACCACCACAGTCAGCAGGATCCTGCAGAGAGACAGAAGGAGAAGGAAAGGGCAGAAAGGGGGAGGGGGTGAAAGGGAGAAAGGCAATGTCAGTTAGTAATGACCAAATGAACAGAGATTCAGGAGATTTCTGGATATAATTTTGACAATTGTTTGCAAGACTTGGTTCAACTTATTGGATACTGCTTTGTTTATGATCATGTTGTACCCTAAATCAACCATTTTGGGGCTGGTGTTGTAACTTACTTTGTTCCTGGGTGTGTGTGCATGTTCATGCATAAGTGTGTGAGTGTGTGTGTTTGCCTGAGTTATCACTCAGCTGCTGTGACAAACAACACCACAGGATGGTAGAGATGCGCTCTAGATGGCATGCACACATGAGCTCGCTAATCAAAAGAGAACAAAACAGGAGGGGTTGTCAGAAGAAAAAGGGGATTTCATACTAACTCTTCACGGCTGAGTTAAAATGGTACAGCATCAGCACACTTCTGTGTGTGTGTGTCTGCACATACATGCTTGAACATGCTATTCATTGATTTTAAAGGATAGTTTGGATTGTTTGAAGTGAGGTTGTATGACCTATAGTAGATTGCGGTCGGCATGCACCCAGTTTGGAGAGACAGATATGAGTTAGGACACATGAGCTAAGCAAAGAACTGTTGTGGAGAGGGGCAGATGCAAACTTTTTTTTGCCATGTGAAATTCTTACAAAATTCTCGATCTGTGTAAGCTTTATTAAGAATATTTTTGTTGTTTGACCTTGTCGACAGGAAGCCGTTATCTACAATCTTACCTATGCCTGCAGACTCAATAACACACACTTACTAACCAATCAAGCAGCGCAACAACTCCTCAAGGTAAAATTACAGGGTTTTTATTCCCATGGACACAGCTTGGTAGCTTTGATAAGACCACAGCTGGATATAAAGGATTCAGTGAAATCAGTAAAAGGTTCTAGGTAGACTATACAATTAAACTGATATGGATTATTTTCGTCTGCTTTTCATATAGGATGCTAAAATAGGTTTTGCTGCAGCCCCTTTCCACAGCAGTACTTTGCTTCAAATTGAAGGCATGCCGACCGTCATCTATTTTAGGTTATACACTTACTCTGAAAACCTACCTCCTAAAACCCCACTTTAAACAATCTTTAGTTATCCCTTTAAGGAATAGTGTAAGTACTTTTTCAATAATATCAATTCCTGCCTCTCATGATATCATGAATCTTATCATTACTGAAAAGCTATTTATCAAACATTCAACCGCTGTACACATGAACTCTTTTTTTGACCTCTTTTTCGCTGGTATCATATTATGTGTGGGCCAAACCGTGTCTTAGGGGTGTTTCCGCTTAAAGAGATCGGAAACCAAAAGAATCCTCAAATCTGGCAAAATACAGAGGCGGCTGTTGTTCCCATGATTATAGAATAACAGCTAGGCTTATTATTAGCAACTTAATGCTGAACCATACAGGTGTCATCTTCCCATTGAGGCTCATTAGTGCAGTGCTGCAGTTGTGTGCAGGGGCTGGAGCATCCGGAGAGGATCAGTGCGGCTGCTTTTTAGAGGCCTCTGAGAGACTGGTGTGCTGTACTGTTATCTCCTGGTGTCGATCCAGCGTGAGCACTGCGGAGGAGGACTGGGGCTTTAGGGCTGCACTGTCAGCTCTTTATAATGAGCGAGGAAAGCCTGCACATCATGGGGCTCCCTGGTATTTATGCCACAATGCAGTGGATGTGCATGCCCCCTGTGTGGAGGAGCCAATTACTTAGAACACACTTGTTTCTGAGGACATGAGGGCCACCCAGGGCAAACCGAGGGACAGAGAAAGATGGGAGGCGGCCCCCAGGTGGGTTACAGCCACTCGGCAGATACATATGGCAATGGCATTTAAACAGGCGATGTAATGTAATGCTTTTCAGAAAGATGAAAAGTTGGTCAGTGTTCTTCATGTTGTTGTGTCAAATGAGACTCCATAATGTAGCATTTAATATGCCCACGCCCTATTTCCATGGCCAGTTACCACAGCAACCAGCGGATTATAATGAAAGGTGAGGATCTGTAGACGAGGGGAGGAAGAGATGTTATTCCTTGGGGGGTAAAAAAAGAAATGTCTTCCATTGACGCGATTAAGGAGGCAGCTCTTTAAAGGTGAGAGGTTTAGCAAAGAAACACGTGTTAGCGACTTAAAATAGAGCATTGCGCCGCTGCAGGACTATTCCTGCTTCACCTGCGAGAGCCTACGTGTGTGTGTGTAAGCATGACAGACACGCGAGGACACAGAGACAAAGAGGGAGAGTCAGTCATGTGTGTGAGTTGTGCAAAATGACAAACATGTCCGCTCGTCACTGCTTGGAGCAGCTGTGAGCATATACGCTACGCTGGCTTTCAGTATGTTTCAGAGAACAACACAAAACCTCCCTGCTAATTTGGTTTTCCAGAAGTTAAAAACAGGTCATGTATGCAATTTACATCCAGTCACTCTCTGATCCCTTGCTGTGATGTATCTGCCTTCACTGGTGGTTTGACAGCAGAGGATTTGACCAAAGGGCTGACACTGATAGTGTTCTGCTCCACAAGGAATCATCTGACGCATGCTGCTCAATTAGATAGAAATCGGCAATCCACACTGCTCATTTATATGCAAATACTTGTTTGGATTGTACGGAAATAGCTCATGTTTAGAGCGGCTCCGGATGCTGATTCAAAAGTCATAGGATAGAAAGCGTTTACATCTGCATTCCCTTGTCTGTTTCTACTCAGGGTCTGCTTCTTCTCGTGCCAGTGATAATTACTACATCATAATAGCATTACCTAAATGTCACTAAGTCTGCCTGCTCTCCACAGAGACTGGACACGTCATAGTAATATATCCACTACTACGTGATCACTTTCTTTGAAATACAGACATAACAGATGGCTTGTGTTGTTATTTACACATGTGTTTATGGACTGGAATGGAAAGCAGTTTGCAGACCAGTGACTTCCTCATTACCAGTGGACACTGTCTATGTCCTTTCCTGATTCCCACACAAGACTCTGCTTTATCTGAAGCTTGCTTTAGTGACTCTCTAAGCAGCCATTTTTGTTTTTGTGTAGCACCTTTTTAACTCCATAGTCCACATGCATGGTATCCTTTTTTTCACCACATTTCAGCTATATTTTGTCAAAGTATAAAGCTGCCAGGAACCCCAAAAAAGGGAAAATACACAGTTTATGCCGCTAATAAATATCGTTGCACTATTTATACACAACTTTGATATATAAATATAAGAAGTAAAACCATAATGCAGTCTATTAGTGACTTTATCCAAACTCCAGGTCTATAAAGACCTCTTAATCACTGCATATATAACTAATCCACGTTGTAAAGATGTACTGAAAAAGGTCTTTGGGTCTAAAGATATAAATAAGACAGTGTTTAAATACCCCTCATCAGCACTTTGAAGAAGTTTTCTCCGCTTGTCCCTACATGACATTAAAATAAAGATGCTGGTGCTATAAATAAAACATGCTCCATGTATTCACCCACAGAGAGACACCACCTACAAATGCATAGCCTTTTAATTGAGTGCAGCTGAACCTGCTTAAGTTAACATAAACCAAAAGTAAAAATGTCCTAGTTTATCACGGCCTCATCACATGGAAAACAACCAGTGTACTTGGTAATTGATAAAGATGTAACTCCCAATTCTCCATCCTAATGTATGTAAATGATTGTGACTGTGGGGATTAGCAACAAAACAGCTTACAGCCGTCTCCCTTTTCTCATTGCTGCAACTCTGCATTTCATACAATGTTTCCACTGCGGCTCCCTCAGCAGTAAGAGTTTAAAGATTTACTTCCCTCAGATATAAAACTTTTCTTAAGCACTGTACTGCAGTTATTTGTCTATACTTGTTTGTTGGTCAGATCTATGTCGTTTAAAAATTCCAAGACTGTGCAAGTATTGTGTGTGTGTGTGTGTGTGTGTGTGTGTGTGTGTGTGTGTGTGTGTGTGTGTGTGTGTGTGTGTGTGTGTGTGTGTGTGTGTGTGTGTGTGTGTGTGTGTGTGTGTGTGGTGTGTGTGTGTGTGTGTGTGTGTGTGTGTGTGTGTGTGTGTGTGTGTGTGTGTGTGTGTGTGTGTGTGTGTGTGTGTGTGTGTGTGTGTGTGTGTGTGTGTGTGTGTGTGTGTGTGTGTGTGTGTGTGTGTGTGTGTGTGTGTGTGTGTGCTATACTGCTGGATAACAGGATAATCAGCACGGGGCAGATTGCTGCATTAGCAGAAAGCAGTGGACGAAGGTTATCTGCAAACATCAGTGTTTTAAGTCCTGCGGAGTAACGAGCCAACAGAGCAGATTGGGACAGGACAGCCTGAAGCTGCAGAATATTCAATAACCACCATCAAAAAATGATGAAAAAGATACCAGGAAATTTAGTATATCATATCCTAGGGCAGAATATAAAAACAACTAGCTTATTTAACTTAAAAAAGAAAACGCAGGCACTAGTGCTTTGGTTCCTTAGAGTTCATTTAATTCCAGTAAAGGATCTCCCACATCAGTCTCCTCTCATCACCTCATTTGTCTGCCTCCTCTCCCTTCAGCTGAGACTAATCACATTTTTGGAGACTTTTTCAATCCCTCACACTGCGCCAGAGATTTAATAAAATTCGGAAGAGCATTAATCCAGTCTGCATCCCTGGATTGGGCTCACATTTGAAAGTTATTTGTCTAATGTTCACAATTTCCTTGTGCTGCATCAGTCACAGCTGCTATTTCCATAGGGTGCAGAGAGGAAGTACGTATACACTCGGCTGCGGTGTGACTATACAAAGTGATCCGTAGCCGATTGACCTGCGAGATTGTGAGTATAGTGTAAGGCTAGCTGCTGGTGTGTCAACTGGACCAGAGGCTTTTATACACACACACACACACACACACACACACACACACACACACACACACACACACACGCACACACACACGCACACACACACACACACGCACACACACACACACACACACACACATACTGTACGTT